GTACCCTTAATTAATGAAGCTCAACTTCCTCATATGCTTTTGGGATATTAGAAAATTTTCTTTGTAAATTTTCAGTGAAAATTCTTTATGTTTCTATGGACAGTTTAGTATTTCTGGTTTGTTTGAGCTTCAGGCAGTAAGAACTTTATGTTTTATTTAAAATCACATTTTAGCCAACATTTTCTGCATTTTATTTCTTCACTTTCAGGTCATGTTCTCAACATATCAAAAAAAATGAAATGTGTGTTAGTCTAACTGGTTTCTTTATGATCTTCTTTATTGCTTTATTATTTGAAAATTCTTCCTCTTTTAGAGAACAGAAATATATATTTCCCAAGATAGCCCTCTACTTTTTTTTTATTCAAAGTCATTTAGAATTTGAATCAGCATATGGTATAAATCCTAATTTTATTTTTTCCATTTTATAATTAAAGAATAATTGACTTATCCAACCCAGGCTTTGACTGGTTCTTTTGTTTCCTTTATAAGACAGTATCCACTGTTTCTTAGGTTTTCTGTCTTCCTGCTAGCTATGAATAATGGCCTTCTTCTTGTTGATGCATTACATGTTTAAGTATATGGTAGTGGCATACAGATTAGAAAAGAAAACCTGCCTTTTATCACAATTGACATAGGTACGTAGGAAGAAAAGACAAAGGAATCGGTAAAATAACAACAATTAAATAACAATTTTGCAAGATTTTAGCATACAAAGCCAAAATTCCATATTTGAGTGTTTTTTATCTATGAGCAACAGAAATTTAAAAAATGAAAATTTAAATTTACCTATACACAATGGAATATTATGCATAAAGAAGGACAAACATATGGATTTCGCAGCAACTTGGTTGGATTTAGAGTCGATCATACTCAGTGATATGTTCCCGCTCCTAAGAGGACCTTGAACAATTATCATCATACTATAAGAAAGTGATTGGCAGTAGTGGGAAACTGCCAGGGGAGGGTAGGTGGGATTGGCAGTTGGGGAAACTTCCAGGAGAGGGAGGGGCATAGCTCATCAACAAGGGTAACTGCATAATGAATATTTGTATACCTAATCCTGAATTGTACCCCATATCTTTAAAATAAAAAATTAAATTAAATTTTAAAAAGAAAATTTAAATGTACCATTTATAGAAGCACCTAAAACCATGAGATATTTAGTTTTTAAAAATAAAATCGTATACTCTAAGAATTATAGATCATTGCTAAAAGAAATTAAGGAAGATTAAAATATGTGGAGAGTACTTCTTTGTGGATTGAGAGATTTAATATCACTAAGATACTGACTGGGCATGGTGGCTCAGTCTATAAACCTAGAATTTTGGGAGGCTGAGGCAGGAGAATTGCTTGAGCCCAGGAGTTCAAGACCAGTGTAGGCAGTAGTATCAGAGACTGAGGAGGCTGAGGCAGAAGGAGTACCTGAACTCAGGAGGTTGAGGCTGTGGTGAGCTCCAGCCTGGGTGATGGAGTAAGACCCCAACTCAAAAAAAAAAAGCAAAAAGATATTAATATTTTCAAAAGCAACCTATAGATTTAATATAACACTAATCAAAACAATAGTGACTTTTCTGTAGAAGTTGACAGGGTGGTTCTATAATTTAAATGAAAATTAAAAAGGCTAAAATAGCCAAAGGAATTTTTAAAAATAAAAACAAATCGGCGAACTTATAGTATCCAATATCAGAATTTACTGTAAAGCTACAATAAGCAAGATAATTTGATATTGGCAAAAAAGATACACATAAAGATCAATAAAACATTGTAGAGAATCTTGAAATTGACATATATATTTTGACAAAAATGCCAAGGTGATTAAATGCAGGAAAAAAAATTATTTTCAACAAAAAGTATTGGTAATACATTTAAAAAAATTTGACCCATATCTTACATTATATGCAACAATAAGAAGTTTGTTACTTACCTAAATGTAAAAACCAAATCTATTATAAAATTCTAATGGTAAATAAGAGAAAAATTTATGCAATCTTGAGGTAAATGATGCTTTCTTAATGGGAAAAATAATAACATGAACTATTAAAATTAACTATTTCATTTTATCAAAGGTAAAAATTCTTTTACCTTTTGAAAAATGAAAAGCCAACCTACAACCAGATAGAGAGAAAATATCTCCAATACATATATCTGAAAAGATCTTGTAACCAATGTATGTATAAAACAGTCACTGCCATCACAGGTCAAGGAGGGAGAAGGAAGTCCTCACACTCCTAGGCACTCTGAGGACAAATCTCACAACTGCTGCTGTGGGCTGCTTTGATATCAAGGTGTAAGAAAATTGCACTGTGGAGAGGTGCCCTACCCTCCTGGATAACAAGCCAACTGCTGGTGCTATTCTGAGAGCCTAGCCTCCAAAGGTCTACATCCTGCCCTGGGGCCAGAGTGATGTTGTAGCTGTCACTGCTAGGCCGAGAACAGAAAAGGAAAGCTGGCACTTTTATGCTCTACAAGGACAAATCCCACTGCCATTGCTGTGGGCTGCAAGAAAACTGCACTCCCTGTGGCTACCTACCCATGATGTTCCAGCTGAAAACTTTCCACACCTGAGCATTCTGCCAGCAGCCTAAAGACTCCACACTCCTGCCTTCATAGCCAGTGGATGAAGTATTAAAGTACACCATCCAGGGGCCTAGAAATTGCCCAGCCCAGGCCACCATGGTTGGTACCTGATCATTCCTTCTGGGGCCTGAGGTTTGGACCAACTCAACCTACGGATACCACTACAGCTGGAACCCACCTGCATGTGCTGCAAGCAAACCAGGGGACTGTCCCATTCAATCTGTTGCAGTTACCACCAACACCAATGTGGACTGCTTGGGTTCCCGCGGGTTTCTCCACTATTGCTACTGCCATCTCCCACATCACACCAACAGCCCTGTAGTCTGAACATTTGCTCACATGCGCAACCCACCACTGCACTACCAGCATCCAAACAAGTCACCTGGAAACCCAAGAATCAGCCCTCCTAAAACCACTAACACCAGTGCAAGCCAAGCATTAGTTACGCTGGGGTAAAACAAGCACTTTCAGCCCATTGTGCCACCACGGGGGATCAAAGACCAGCCCACTTGGCATTCCAGTTCCCAGTAACATTTCACCACAACTTCTGCTAATAATCGCACCCTAACCCACCGAAGAAACCACAGCTAACACTGAAACTGTTTGCAGCCAAAGACATCATATAGAGATCACACTACTGCAGGCACCCAAAATCAATGCAGAAGAAATCTACCCAGCCAGCAACATACACACCTTCAGAAAAAATGTGCTTTGCTACAAAAATAAATTCAAAAATAGGAAGAAGCAACTTTTACACCAGATGCTCAGATATCAACATAAAAATACAGGAAAGAAACATAAGAAAAAAGAGTAGTACAATAATTCGCCAGCAAAAGATCTCAATCATAAAGAAATTCTCTGAATCCCAGATGAAGAATTAAAATGTTTATTTTAAAGAAGTTCAGTGAGATACAAGAAAATTCTGAAAAATACAAAGAAATCAGAAGAACAATTCAGGATATGAATGAGACATTCAGATGCTCAAGGGAGTCCTATACCTGGGGGACTTTTAAAGACATGTGTCCATTTTATGAGACATTACTTTTGTCTATATATAGTATCATTATCCAGTGTACATAGACTCATTTAAGAGAGTATAGGTAAGCAGGTAATGGCAACACATCACAATAAACAAAGAACCAGCCAGTAAATGAGGGAACCGTGGTCCACCTCTTCACACCATGGAGTTCTCATTCTCCTTCAGGTTACCATGCTTAGTCACAGTATTTCTCCATCATCTGGCAAATTGACTAAATTAAAGTGCCCATGTTGACCTGCACATGGATATTAATATAGTCTATTATATTTATTCTTTTTAGATTAAGAGCAAATATCTGGTCATGTGCTGCATAATGACATTTAGACCAGTGACAGGCTGCATAAACAACTGTGGTCCCATAAGATCATAATAACATATTTTACTGAACTTTTTCTATCTTTAGATACATAAGTACCATTGTGTTACAATTGAGTGCAGTATTCAGCACAGTAACATGCTGTACAGGTTTGTAGTCTAAGAAAATTAGACTATACCATATAGCCTAGGTGTGTATTAGGCTATACCATCTAGGTTTGTGTAAGTATGCAATATGATATTTACATAATTTTAAAAATCACCTGAAGATGCATTTCTCAAAATGTGTCCCTGTCATTCAGCAATGCATGACTGTATTCAGAATTTCAGGTATTTCTCTTATACCCCAAATGGATTTCCTTGTGCGTGCAGTGGTGCAGCTGTGTTTCATTTTAGAATCTACTGCTTGGGAATGAAGACGTCTTTGAAGGGTGTTGAGAAGGATAGTGACATAGACAGATGTGAATTTTTAACTGACCCAGTTTTAGCAGACGAAGTGGTATTGGGAAAGACCAAAAGCAGAAGGCCATATATTTTATATCATCTAAGACAAATGAAAGAGAACGCAGGAGGGATGCTATGATTGAATGAAATTCAATATTCAAGACTTGGTGAATTATTGGAAGTTAAGGAGAAAAAAATGAAGAATAATTTTCTGGTGCCTGACTAAAGCACAGGTTTTTGCAAAGCTTTAGAACACAGGATGAAATCTTACATGCTTTATGATTCCTGGTTGCTTTTTCAGGGGAGAAAAGATAGTCAGCTGTAATGATATTATTTCCTAATACCATGCAATATTTGTATCAGTGTTTTTATTTGTTTCACAGACATTCCCCTATAACCTGGACACTGCACCAGGCACTAATTCTTTCCAAATATCAGATAAGGTCATTTTCAATTATGTACTCAATACTGACGATTTTCCCAAAATGGAAAGGAAATAAATTTTCATTATAAGATTGAAAAAAGACTGGCTTCCTAATACATGATCAATGTTTTGTGAAAATGAAGGTGACTTGCATTGTGCTTCCTGTGTTTGGTTCATTACTGCTGCATATCTTACCTTTAGCTGGGATGACAGCAGTTCAGTGAGCAGTGGTCTCAGTGATACCCTCGATAACATCAGCACTGATGATTTGAACACCACCTCCTCTGTCAGCTCTTACTCCAACATCACTGTCCCTTCCAGAAAGAACACTCAGGTGAGAATTGCCTCCTCTCTTTTTCAAATGCTTATAACCAGCCTCTTCAAATTTATTTTATATTAGATTAAGGTGTAACACAAACCCTTAACCCAAAAGAATTGCATAAACTGAATATGGCAGAGCTAACAATGACTCACTTTGTACACCTGGACCCTGAAGTGTCTTTATCTTAGTCTTTCCTGAAGCTACAAAGCTCAAGAGATGCAAAAATTTACATCTCAGACTGTTTTGGGCAGTCAGAATTAGATTACATACACACACACACACACACACACACACACACACATTTTCTACTGATTGTATGTCTATATATATATTTGTGTATATATATATTCTGCTGATTACAATCTAATCTGTTACCATGTTTCTCCTTATAAAATAATATATTTGTTGAAAAATCTAAATTATTTTAATAGTCTAATTTTGGATAGTTCTTGATTAATTTTCTATTGATCTCTGAAATAAATGACTGAATTTCTTGTGAATGGTATATCAAGAATCAACTTTACATAACTGAGTTCTAGCTTGTCTTATATTTCCTTGTTATGTTTGACAGAAAATCTCTTCCTTTTTGAAGTATTTAATTGGGGTTCTAGACATATTTCTTCTGACAGTCTCTAATATGTTTAAGTGAGAATTATGTGGCTAAAATTAATAAAACTTCAGTGAAGATAGAGAAAAATAGAAGACTCTTTGGAATTTTTTTTTTTTGCCAGTTATCTGAAAGTATATTCCCATGTCTTATTCATGTTTGATCCTTTTTTTCTGCGTAAAGTTTTTTTCTGTAATATTTTTCTGTATAGCTGAAGACAGATTCAGAGAAACGTTCCACAGCAGATGAAACCTGGGATAGTACTGAAGAGCTGAAAAAAACAGAAGAAGACTTTGACAGCCATGGGGATGCAGGTGGCAAGTGGAAGAGTGTTGCCTCTGGACTTCCTGAAGACCCTGAGAAAGTAGGGCAGAAAGCTTCCCTGGCTGTTTCACAGACAGGTTCCTGGAGAAGAGGCATGTCTGCTCAGGGAGGAACTCCATCGAGGCAGAAAACTGGAACAAGTGGGCTCAAGACTCCTGGTAGGCTTGTTGTTTGGTGACTGTTATGCCAAAGCTTTTTAATTTATTGTGTCTGTCCAAACTTTGTTTTCTCTAATAATAACTTTCATTTAAAAATCAGATTCTTGCCAGGCTTGGTGGCTCAGCCTATAATCCCACGCCTTTGGGAGGCTGAGGTGAGTGGATTGCCTGAGCCCGTGGGTTTGCGACCCGCCTGGGCAGTGAGACCTCATCTCTACAATAAATCAAAAAATCAGCCGGGTGTGGTAGCGCATGCCTGTAATTCCGGCTACTTGGAAGGCTGAGGAGGAAGGATCACCAGAGCCCAGCAGGTCAAGGCTGCGGTGGCCGGGAGCAGCCACTGCACTCCAGTCTGGGTGACAGAGTGAGACTCCAACTCAAGGAAAAAAAAAAAAAATCAGATACTTCTCCATATAGTTAGTTTTTTAGTCTCAGTTTCACATATGTTATCATATTAGCCCGGGTTAATACAATAATCTAGGCATTCTCTAGAGAACACCATCAAAATGTGGGGCTATTACATGCCTTACTTGACCACATTTATTTCTGGTCATGAGGAAATAAAATAAGGTTATTAAAGAAACAATAAGGTTTCTTTTGTTCTAACATTTTTATGAAGGTTTGGAATCTTTTTTTTTTTTGAGTCAGTGTCTCACTCTGTCACTCAAGCTGAAGTGCAGTGGCACGCTCATGGTCACTGCAGCCTTGACCTGCTTGGCTCAGATGATCCTACTGCCTCAGCTTTCCTAGTAGCTGGAACCACAGACATGCACCACCACACCCAGCTAATTTTTTAATTTGTTGTAGAGATGAGGTCTCACCCAATTGCCCAGGTTGGTCTTGAACTTCTGGACTCCTCTTGCCTCTGCCTCCCAAAGTGCTGGGATTACAGGTGTGAGCCACTGCACCTGGCCAGGTTTGGAATCCTTATGTTAAGTGTGCCACTGAGTTTCACTACAATCTCTGAGGGGCAAAAGCAGTCACAGTAATCTGATGGATTGGAATGTTGGGGATTTGAAATGTTGCTTGTGAGTTAGACTTTATGGAAGAATTCTACAAAATTATACCATCTCTTTTTGGAAGACTATCCCCGTAACTATTTTTTAGATAGGGGCTAATTATCATTAGTGACATCTGAAGTACTAATGCAACAGGGTATTCCAAATATAATCACCCTGCTGAAATTCACATGAATTCTTCTACTACTTGATAGGATTAAGTGCTGTGCTTAGAAAGGAAGGAAATTGCAAGGTATAAGACATCAACAAACAGCTAAAATATGTGTTTTCATTTTATCTCTTCCATCTTTCCACACATTTCCTTTGACAACTAAATTTCATAACTGTGCACTCAATCCTCTCAGTACATTAGAGTTAGGATCTAAAACAATAAGCATTGGGAACTGAAGTAATAAAAGAAACATCCACATTTTAGGCATTGTTTCAGAAAGTATTACAAAATCAAAATATGCAAGCACACATATTTGTGCATTTCTCATTAATTAGGGAAAACCGATGATGCCAAAGCTTCTGAGAAAGGGAAAGCTCCCTTAAAAGGATCATCTCTGCAAAGGTCTCCTTCAGATGCAGGGAAAAGCAGTGGAGATGAAGGGAAAAAGCCCCCTTCGGGCATTGGAAGATCAACTGCCACCAGCTCGTTTGGATTTAAGAAGCCAAGTGGAATAGGGTCCTCGACTATGATCACCAGCAGTGGCGCGACCATCACAAGTGGCTCAGCAACACTGGGGAAAATTCCCAAATCTGCTGCCATTGGTGGGAAATCCAATGCAGGGAGAAAAACTAGTCTGGACGGTTCCCAGAATCAGGATGATGTTGTGCTTCATGTTAGCTCAAAGACTACCCTACAATATCGCAGCTTGCCCCGTCCTTCAAAATCTAGCACCAGCGGCATTCCTGGCCGAGGGGGACACAGATCCAGTACCAGCAGTATTGATTCCAATGTCAGCAGCAAGTCAGCAGGGGCCACTACCTCGAAGCTGAGAGAACCCACTAAGATTGGGTCAGGGCGCTCGAGTCCTGTCACCGTCAACCAAACAGACAAGGAGAAGGAAAAAGTAGCAGTCTCAGATTCAGAGAGTGTTTCTTTGTCAGGTTCTCCCAAATCCAGCCCCACCTCTGCCAGTGCCTGTGGTGCACAAGGGCTCAGGCAGCCAGGATCCAAGTATCCAGATATTGCCTCACCTACATTTCGAAGGTAAGGATGTATAAAATAATGCTGGAAAAGTATTAAAGGATATATACACATATAATGTAAACATATAAATTTTTATATATCATATATATATAAATTTTTATATATAATATATGTATATATATATTCCAAGATACTTAGATAACAATTATCTCGAATATATATATCTTAGAATCTTAAAGTACAGTGGGTTCCAAGACACTTATATAGACAGCTAGTATAAAGAAAATAGTACTCATTTTGAAAAATGATCAAACTTCGAGGTTTCACTTTTATAATATTAACAGCACAAACAACATAAAACATGAGTCTCGTATCAGAGACTTAAAAGTAGATGGTTATACCTAGGGGTAGTGATAAAGCAAAGTAATAGCTTATATTATTTCTATAGATTTCCATGCCTTCTTTCCACACTTAAAAAGGAAAAACAAAATAGATCTTTATGACTATTGGTATTTATTGCCAGTGTTTGCTGTCTTGCTGGCTCTGAGTTGATGATCATGAATGTAGATAAGGTCATGTTCTTATAACAGATCACACTGAAGAGATTTATATACAGTACCATATCTTAATATATTAAAGACAAGGTATAATATCACTGACAGAATTTGAAAATATTCAGATGTTTGGTTCAGGATAGCAATTGAAGAGTGGGCTGAATTTTCTAACTCTTCAGCAATTTGTTTGATAGGACTCTGGTAAGCAGCATGATTTTATTTCTATACCAGGATCGTTTTTGGTATTAAATGTGTAAAGTTCTGCTCTAAGATATCACTGTTTTTAAGTAACAAAATGTTTTTAAGTAGTAGGAAAATAGATATAGTTAAAAGTTTTGTACAAATAGTTGAATCTTTCTCAGTCTGTTTTCTGATATGCAAAATGGAAGAGTATGATTACAGTTCATTACATGTTAAATATTTTTAATGTTTGTTTTTATTCTTTTGACTAAGCCAAGAACTTTGATATCTTGAAAATAAGGGGTCTTGCAAAATTTACTTTCATATTCAAACAATCTCAGATGCATAAATGAAAAACATAGATGTTCTATTCCTCAGTAGAAATATTAATTCTGAAGAACTGACTTTTTGAAATGTTGACTCTCACTTGAAAGAATAACGCATGGCTTGTAGGGAGAGTAAATATTTCTGTTGCTTAAGTAAAAGCCAATAGTGCCCTCCTGTGGCCCATTACCTATGAAACAATTTCTCATATTCGTCATAAAATTTTTCACTGTAGAAAATATGGATTTCATTGCAACTTAATCAGTAATCATTTTGCCATTACCTCATATCATTTTATCTCCATATTTACATAAATTTGATTATATCATCTACTTCATGTACAAAACTAAAATGTTTTCTGGCCTAAACTCCAAAATCTAACAGCACCAACTGTATTTCAAATTACTATTAAAAATACGTATTTGAATAGCACTGGCAACTGACATAAAACCCTCTGGCCTTTCCTGGGGAAAATGCAGAAAAACTGACAGATTGACAACAATGTCTAATATTGTTGCCAACCAACTACTCCCTGACAGTCACTTGGACCACCAGATATTCAACATAGCTTCCTAAACCATGCCTTAAGCATTTCTTTTAGATTTTGAATACACTGTTTAAAAGTAAAAGAGAAAAAATTCCATTTAAGTATTGTCTATCGAATGCGTAGAAGTTGTTTCATTATAATGGTTCTGTAAATAGGTTATAGCAAATGTGGTCAAACTATTCATTTGAGTGAAAGATTCTCATGATCACTTAATTGTGAAAGCCAGGGATTTTCATGTTTGACTAACTCTTGTTTTGCCCACTTCCCCCATTCCCCTAGTAGCTGCCCAGTACTGACTTACCCTTATGGTGATATGAAAGCTTTTCAGCACTCGATTAAGAAGTCCAAGTTCATAAAGTTCATTAACACAGAGACAGGAAATGCTTGGTAGCTCAGTACGCCAAAGCACACTTGACTCTGTGTACTGTAACCCTAAATATTAAATGTGGATATTAGCTTCTTGGAACAACTGAAGTTGTTATTTGTTTTTCTTTTAGGTTGTTTGGTGCCAAGGCAGGTGGCAAATCTGCCTCTGCACCTAATACTGAGGGTGTGAAATCCTCCTCAGTAATGCCCAGCCCTAGTACCACATTAGCACGGCAAGGCAGTCTGGAGTCACCATCGTCCGGTACGGGCAGCATGGGCAGTGCTGGAGGGCTAAGTGGCAGCAGCAGCCCTCTCTTCAATAAACCCTCAGACTTAACTACAGATGTTATAAGCTTAAGCCACTCGTTGGCTTCCAGCCCAGCGTCGGTTCACTCTTTCACATCAGGTGGTCTCGTGTGGGCTGCCAATCTGAGCAGTTCCTCTGCAGGCAGCAAGGACACTCCGAGTTACCAGTCCATGACTAGCCTCCATACGAGCTCGGAGTCCATTGACCTCCCCCTCAGCCATCATGGCTCCCTGTCTGGACTGACTACAGGCACTCACGAGGTCCAGAGCCTGCTCATGAGAACTGGTAGTGTGAGATCTACTCTCTCAGAAAGGTGAGCTTTCCTGGAGGCCTTGACAACTTCCTCACCCCCTCCTCCCTGCCTTGTGCCTAACCCCCCATCCCATTAAATTCCCTTTAATTTCAGTGTGAGTGCTCCTGTGGAAAGGGACAAAAGATTGATGAGACTGGGCCTTTTATTTGTTCTTATCAACCAAATTTGCAGAGGAATAAAGCCATTAAGGGTAGAGTGATTGGATAATTAAGTTTCTTAATAAGAATGCATACATTTATACCCAGTAGGCATCTTGATAAAATTCAAAGCATGTTTTTAGATATTGAAGGTTGTCTTCTCAAGATAGTTTAATGATGTGGTTTAGGCTCCAGGATAGCACAAGCTCCTTCTGACAATGTAAACATTTTTAAAGACTAAATTTAACTGATTCTACAGTTATGCTTAGAGCAGTATGTTAAATTGTTTCATTTGTATCTCTATGAAAAATGGTTTGCTGGGGAATCATAGCTGACCTGGAAAAAAAAAAATCAATTGTCAGAGTGAATGTTAGAGAAAATTATAACACCAGTGCTATTTTTAATAGATCCCTTGAAAATTAATCATATAAAAAAGTTTTTTTCCCATTATTCCTTCCCATTGGCTGTGTATATATATATTTTTTTCTTTTTTTTACTTAAAGTGGAGGATATACAAAGGCATTTCTTACCTAATATACTTATCACAAAGCATTACTTAAACAAAATGGCTCTAGATTCTTTTCCCCAAAACATCCTTTATTGGATATGTTGGTATTGACTCTTATTCCAGGATAATGCCTAAAACAGTCTCTTTTTCCCTGACAAACACAATGCTACTTATTTCTTGGTTTATGCTCCAAGATAACATAAGCACAGGTAAAGCTTTAAAAAATGGGCTTGGTCACACGTGAAGAGCACTATTGGTCACTGATATATTTCCCTATATACCTGATATATTCCCCTGTCTTTTTTTTTTTCTTACTCTGAAATTGATGCTGGCCTATCTGCTCCTTTCTAGACCTCCGGTATTACACCTAACATAATATTTTGCAACATCAACAAAAACTCTTTTGTAGACTCTGTCTATGGTGCACCAGTTATCCCTTAATCTAAGATTTCCCACTCTATACTTCTCTATTGATTTTAACTTTGTAAAATAAACCCAGAGCAAAACATTGCTTCTATCCCAATTTACTTCCCACTTCCCTAACAGTGAGACAGGGACAGCCATGTGAATAGGGTTTTCCTTTGATAAAATAATTTTAGTACAAACTAAAATATTAGTGCTTGATACTTGCTACAGGAGACTGGTAATTACAGAATAAGTTTTTCCTCATAAACAGATGACAACAAAAAAAAAAACTGGGCCAGGTGCAATGGTTCATACCTGTCATCATGGCACTTTGGGAGGCTGAGGTGGGAAGATTGCTTGAAGCCAGGAGAATGAGACCAGACTGGTCAACATAGCGAGACCTGGTCTATACAAAAAATAAAAATAATAAAATAAAATAAATGAAAGTTAGATCAAGACAGACAGCGGGAGGATGGCAAAGAACATGTATCTCTTTTCCTTTTGCTTTTGCTGTTATAGACAGCACACATAAAAGCCCGTTAAGTGTTTGATTTTCTGTCTCAGAAGTCAGACTTCCAATAGAATCTTAGATTCTAATTTTGGCACCTTTAAGATAAATGGGCATTCTCACATTTCATTTGTAAAAATTCTAACAAACAAATCAAATTATATCGAAACTATATGAGGAATAGAAATAACAACTTGGTAACCACACCAAGCATACTGTAAATAGGTTATCATTAAGTACAACCACAGTCCAAAATACTGGCTATTTTAGTTTATAAAGGTGACCAAAGCAAGTTGAGAATTTAGTCATCAACCTCTTTCTTCAGCATTCAGACATTAAAGATTCTGAAATATAGTCAAGTAACTATTTATAACCAAGTCATCCTCAAATCAAACCTAGATAGTAAGATTGCTGAGTTTTATAGCTATATCCAAAATGTTGTTTTAATATTTTACTCTAATCTATATTTTAGCTGAAATCAATATAAATTTTCACTACAAAAATACAATAGCAAATATGCAGTTATTTATTCTTTTTCTAGAAGAACTTTTTTAATTGTTCTTGTTCAATCTTTAAAATAGGTCAGTTTTATGAATGGGAATGTCATAGCATTTAAAATGACCCATACTTTTTCTAAAATAAACCTTTAGCTAATTTTGAATAAATAAAATATGTTTTGCCTTTGAGTCATGTTAACAATGTATGAATGAATATTAGACTGTAAAAAGTAAATATTAATAAGTTCATAGGTACAGTATAATATAAACATTAATTTGTTTCTTTCAATGAATTACTGGGTTGAAATGCATTTTGATATTTGACATCATGCTTTCTTTTTTCCTGAGAGCCAAATGACAAGCAATAGCAGCTGACTCTAAACCTTTAAAGTACATTTAAGAAAGTCTATGATCTGTTGAACATAAAATTAGTTCGAATGGGTAGCCCTGGCTTAATTACAATTAATTGGTCAGTGAATTTTGGGGGTGCTAAGAATTCCAAAGAGCCCTACCTGAGAGAAAGTGTGTTAAAGTGTCAATACTTAGGGAAAACGAATTAAAGCTATGTAATAGAGAGGTACATAAGTTCCTAACTTACCTGTCTGTCTATAATTTTAGAAGACTTCCTTGATAGTTATTTTAAATCACTAGTTTTTTCATTCATATTTTAATTTTTGTTTAAATTTCTCTCCATTAAATTGAATTTAAAAAATAGCAAATAATAAAATATATTCTTTGAAGCTTTTCCCTCTGCAGCAAGTCAGTGATGGTCCTTGAGCTGTGACTAGTCCACGTTTGTTTTGCTTTGTTTTTTGTGAGCCAACAAAATTTTAATTCGAAGTAGTAACCAACGTTGCAAATTCCTGGTTTGTCTTTAAATGGAAGATCTGATAATGCTGCTTTCACATTTCTGTCCAGCTCTAGGCAAACAGGGCCTGTCCTTTTTAGACTGTTGACTAAAGCCATGCAGCACTCATTTCCACTACCTACCTGGTCCTTGCAACCCTTTGTTTTTGCACAAAACATCTACTTATATCATTAAGATCCAGAGTCAAATATATGTCTACTTAAAGCTTTACATTATATTGGTAAATTTAAATGTGTTTGTTCTGATTTTTTTCATTAAATTGCTCTGCATCATATAAATATATAATCTTTTATACAACTGGATAACATTGGCAAAATAATTCCTATTTAAAGTATTCTCTGCAGCATTAAACTTTAATTTGTACACTTGAAATACATTATCTTTAAGGTGGCTTATTACCAGATAATGCTTTAGCACATGTAGTTCATATTTGGAGTTTTCTCATATTTGTTCAATATGATTTCTTTTGTTTGTTTGTTGCTCTGTTCTACAAAGAAAAATTCCACAGTCAAGATATATACTAGATCTGGCCACTATATAATATAACAATTATCTTGTATGGACATTCCCCATCAAATTAGGGCTATATAAAGCCTCTGGATACTTTCTATCACAGTGCTAAATAATGGAGTACACATAAGGAAAACATTTTAGTTTTGCTTTTGAGTGATTAAAATTTGTCAGTGTGCTTGCATTCATGTTATATCATCCCCATTATGCATATTCTGTATATTTAATTTTGATCATTTGAGATTCTAAAGGAAAAGAACTGTAATTCTGAAAATCAAGTTAATTTTACCATTTGCTTATCCACATGTCAGAGATTATCACAGAAATCCTTAGACTTGTCCCATTTAGATGTTGATATCTTCTTTCTCTATTTTTTTGAAAAGCCATTTTCTTTAGACACATATTTTCTTCCCTCTTATTACTGATTGAGAATTCTTTAAAATACAGATGATAACATTCATAACCTTTTAAATGCCTAATTTGTAATTTCTAAAAGATAGTGTAGCTTATTTTTATTAAAATATTTACATAAATTATGCTTGAAATATTAGATTTTAAGCAAATATTCATTATATTATATTTCTTCTTATATATAAATGGGGGATAAATATGCCTTTATTTTTATTTAAAAATTAAAGACAAAAGATATGTATTAAACAGTGTTTTTTACGTTCTCTGTTTATTGTAACCTGTCACTCTAGTAGCCAGAAGGTAGATCTCATTTCTACCTTCAGGAATTTTCTGTATGTGAAATCATAGCAAAAGTCTAATCAGCTGCAGAGGAAAGGGGAAACTACCATAGCATTAAATAAATAGAGTCCATAGGGGAAATATACTAACAAGATTTAATCTATTTTCCATTAATCCTATCACTAAATTATCATTAAATGCTACTGGGTTAGAGAGGAAATCAGCATATGTTATAGCCATGAACACCTTTCAACCCTTGTTGGCCTTTTCCAATGAGTTAAGCATTATATATGTGTTGCAGCAAAGTTACTTTTTGTAGTTCAGAGAACCATTTTTTGTTGGATGTATAATTTGGAAGTTTTGTTTACATTATGTCCTTAGGGGTTTTCTTTGTTTTAACAGCATGCAGCTTGACAGAAATACACTACCCAAAAAGGGACTAAGGTATATATTTCTCTCAGCACAATTGCTGCCTCTCTCTGTTGTTATGTAAATTTTGTGTGCTGTCTCTTTTCCTCCTTCTTTGTTTGTTTGCAATGTAGTACCTGAAGCTGAGGATACAATCACTTTTAATCTTGATGTTTTCTCTGATCTGAAGAGTTGGTGAGAAAGGTCTCAGTTAGAGATGTTAGTAGAGTTTGAGGTTGTGATTCAAATAAATTCCACTAAGAATACCAGTATTTTGAAGATTACACTTTTTGTCTCAGGCATTGCTTTTTGGGGGGCAGCAAACTAGGTAGAATGCAGAAATCACATCTACAGATTAAAATAAAATTAACCTCCCTAGCTTTTGCATCTTGGAGGCATATGCTTGCAAAACCTCAAAACCCTATATATATAGTCTACAGATGTGGCCAGTTAATGTTGAAAGGTTGAAGGATGCTCTACTTTGAATCAAAGAAAAACACATTTTCATCACCATAGAATAAATACTGTAATTAAGGTATGATTTTTATAGAATCCTTTTGATAAAAACTCAAAATAGTTTTATTTTATATTTTTCAGGGATACTGGTAGCTCTCAGATTGAGTTAAAACCAATTTAATCTAATATCATTTAGTAATCTCAAAATAATTATTCAGTCCATGATAAAAATGATTTTATGGCCTTCCTTTACTATGTACTTTTATCTGAGGAGGGTTACAGAATAAACTACTAAGAGGTATAACACCATATGCATATGATATGTTGGTTGCTATTTGGTGCTAACAATTTACTTTAGAGAAACACTGAGTAATGGCCAAACCAGGTTTTTCTCCATTATTCTTTTTCTCTCCAATTTGTTAGCAGTCACAAACAGCTGGCAATTATTCCATTCAATATATTGTTCCAGAAATTTATTTTCCAATAAAGTGTGCACATTTCTTCCTCTTTTTTTTTAAATCCAGCCATAATTGTCAAGTAGCATTTTAACCAACGAACTGTTTTCCTTAAAAAATTTTTTTAAAAGTTTGTGTTCCATTTCCTGTGTCTTACTGTAACCATCACTCCTTACCTTGGCTATGGCCTGCCACTGTCTGCCATTTATGTGGTCCATGTCTTCACCCTCTTTACATCCATACTGGCACTTTGCTTTTGAGTTCTTTGTAGTTAACTTGGCTGTCTGCTCATTACTTATGATTTTCAACTGCATATCTCACAGAAGCATAATTTTCTTCTCAAATTCCTTTATTTATTTATTTTTCCTATGAGATTCAAACAGATGGTATAAAGATCATCTGGAAGAACTGAGCAATTATAATTATATTCAATCTGTTTGAGATTGTTGTTCATTCTGAATAGTAAACTCCTCTCAATTGTTTTCCTGTCCTTGTATTGCCTTGCCCTTATAGATGTGCTTTAAGTGTCTTAGCTGTGCTGTTTTGCAGATATACCCCATCATCTCGGCAGGCCAACCAAGAAGAGGGTAAAGAGTGGTTGCGTTCTCATTCTACTGGAGGGCTACAGGACACTGGCAACCAGTCGCCTCTGGTCTCCCCTTCTGCCATGTCATCTTCTGCAACTGGAAAATACCACTTTTCCAACCTGGGTAAAATATTCTAAAACATTGATTATGCTTTGTTCCTCTCATCATCCACCCTCACAAGAGTTCTAGTATTTCTCCATAAAACCTTTTCAATTAAAGGGGAGATAAAGACATCATAACAGTACCTTTTATTTCTATGGTTATTTACTGTTTACAGAATAATTTTCAAACTTACGATATTTACTGCTCTTGACAAATGATTAACATAGGTTAATCCTGTGGTTTTTTTTTTTACAGTCTAGGATCCAGATGCTCAGAGAGGTCATTTGACTTGAAAAAGTCTCACCATTAGTAAGGGACAGAGGCAGTAATCAATATCAGGACATCTGACTTCCAGCCCTGAGTTCTTTCCATTTGGTCTTAGAATAGTCTTTAAAAAGCAATGAAACAACTTAATTTTTTTGTTTATAATGTTAAAACATCCTTGTAACAATATTAATTTTTTTTAGAAAATGAAAATAATTAGGAACAAAATGTGATTGCATGATTCCAAGATAACCTTTTCTTAACATTGTTAATGTTAAAACTCTCCTTAAAATGCATGTAAGAATTTCTGTTAGAACAATACATTGTGAACATTTTAGGCTAGATACAATGAAAAATAAATTACCATATTAGTCATTGGGTTACTTTGTGCTTAGCATCATTTGCATGAAATATGAAATCATTTGCATAAATGTTATAAAAACACAGGGGAAGAATGACAAAAAATGAAAGGAATGTAAACATGTCAGTTATCATTTAATAGATCCAATGACTTTGAAAATAGATTTCTCTTCTAAAAGTCACGTAAAAGTAGTCTCATTATTTTTTCTCTTTTCACTTGGAAAAAAATTCTAATAATATACCCACAGAGGGTTCATATTTTCAATAATTAAAAAAAAGTTGCTTGGGGTGAGGTCAGGTGAATAGGAAGAGAGGGCATGGGGATCTTGCAGTTTGGGTCAAAAACTGCTGAACACTCAGTGTGGTGTGGGTAGGTGCATTGCCAGGGTGAAAGAACCAATGATCTGTTTGCCACAACTCAGGATGTGTCTTCCTCAAATCGTGACACACAACAACACTAGCTGGTACACTGATGTCAATGAGTTCCTAGAACACTTACCTAGTGTATTACAAGGGATGCACCCTCCAAAAAGTAATTCACAAGACAGTAACCACACTATTTTATGTGAAAGAGATCCACAGCTTAGATTTCTGAAAGATGAGTACAGAACTATGACATTTGAATCAAGGACTCATTTCCCAAGAATGTCAAATATTTGTGGAATGATAAGTTGTATCCAAGGGTTGTGTAAATTATAGTTAACATGGCAGCTGAAGCCAACATGTTCATGACCACATTCTGTTAAAAAACAATGGTTATATAGCACACTTCAGAATGTATTTGATTTCAGAGTTGAAGCATAATTAATAAATGAAATAGGAATTATAATTTTACTGATAACAAAGCACCTCTCTGGTCCACTAATGTTCTGATGACTTGAATTTGGAAACCACTGATCAAATATAGCCCTTACATTTCATTGCTATGGAAACTAGGAGTCTCAAAAGTCAAGTTTACTTTTCTAGGATGTAGGTTCCCCACTTAGTCCATTGTCCTTTATACCAAAGATCTTTCAGCGGCATTAGACAGGTCTTGACTTCAGTGACACTACCCTCTTGAGTCTCTTTATGCCTCTTCAACTGCAATTCTTGCTCCCAGGGTTGCTCATCTTAACATGGCTATGTCATTTATTGTACAATCAAGGTCACTTTTGAGAGTGAAAGAGACTCTATTAATAATTGTCCCAGGCATTAAGTGTAAAACCTGGGCAATGCCATTCATCCTCCATCTGCTCCTTATATTGATGTGTTTTCCAAGTTTTTTTTTTTTTAGAGTTTTTTTTAACCTAAACATATTTTCTATGTTCTCAGTCACAATTTTAATTCTTATCTCTCAAATCAATATTAATGAGGGGGAACCAAAAAAAAAAAAACCCCAGAATTCATTTATTAAAAAATTGTGTATTTACTCTTGCATGTTTACACTTCAGTCACCTTCAGAGGACTTTCTGTTTGATAGAATACAACTATCAAGTCGTTCTTTCCACTGCTCAAAACAGTTTTTGAGCTTGTCGATTTTTATGCCTCTTAAGTGTTTCTGCTATTTTTTGTTTCACCTCTTACACGTGGGCAACATATTTTCATTTGAGAACTTTTTTTATCCAGGGAAACAAAAAGAAAGTTGCTCGGGGTGAGGTCAGGCAAATAGAGAGAGAAGGCATAGGGATCTTGCAGTTTGGGTCAAAAACTGCTGAACACTCAGTGTGATGTGGGCAGGTGCATTGACAGGATGAAAGAACCAGTGATCTGTTTGCCACAACTCGGGATGTGTCTTCCTCAAATCGTGACACACAACACTAGCTGGTACAGTGATGGCAATGAGTTCCTAGAACACTTACCTAGTGTATTACAAGAAATGCACCCTCCAAAAAATAATTCCAGTCTCCCCTCATATCTTTCTCTCTGAGATCTTTTTGAGTATTAAAACTCAAATCCTATCAGCATGCTAGACTACTTAGCCACCTCGAATCAAAGTCTAGCTCTTTTCTTATATTTTTCATTCAATTTCACCTATCACCCTTCTCTCTACTCCACGGCAGGACTCAGTATAATAGTCTTACTTGAAACTATACGATTTACTCCTTCATACTGTACATTTTAAATAGATAAAACCCCATGACGTTATCTTCAAAATAGCTCATACATCTATCTTTCTTTTTTAGTGGCATTGTTCTTGCTGAAGCTTTTGAACTCTAGATAATTGCAGTAGATTTCAAACTGATCTTAGTGTCTGAACTCCTATGTCTCAACATTTTCATGCATGGGGAGTATAAAGAAGACTGCCCTATCCATGTCAACACATTCTCATGTACCTACCCAGATTGTATGAGCATAAGAGGCTTCTAATCAGGCATTCTGAGATTGCTATGCTGTGTTATTTTATAATGGAAGAAAATGACTAATTTTCAAAACAGGAAAATAATTTTTAGAGTTTTAATTGCATTTGAAGATTACCTAAACTTATATTTATTGGGTGAGACAGTGGGCCCAATTAAAATATAATAACGAATTTAAGTGACTTTATTATTAAATTTTAAAAGTATGTGAAATGTAATTACTTAACTCAAATATGGGTAACATTATCCTATATTTGTCTTTAGACATCACCTGTTTTCAATTTGATCATTATCTTTTCTGAATGATCAGTAAGGAACATAACATTCAAGAGTTGCAGTATCCATGTTTTCTTTATCTATTCCTTATTTCTACCTATTAAAAATGTGCTAATATGTAAAAGTTTTACAAATATTACTGTAAAAATGCATATAATAAACATTAGAAATTTACATTAGATCACTACAATTATGTCATTTTCAGTAGACAACTGTGAGCTAGTGCCAACGTAAACTATAGTTTGTTTGTAATTCCCAACATGCTAGCTGTAATATAAGCCAATCCCTTTCAGGAAATAATATGAATATGTAATTTATAGAAAAATAAGTCTTTGAATAAAACTTTATTTACTATTGGCCACAGTTCTCGTGAGGTATCTCATAGCCTGCAGAGACTCGTTGCCATGTCCCCATGAGTGGTAACAATTGCACAGATTCATTGTTCACCTCACCACAAGGGTTAAACACAAGATTAATATCAACCTGGCACATCCTACTTCTGGATATTAAGTGGAACCTTTTGCATACATACAGTGATGGCTAAACACCTTTGTATAAGAGCAGTTTCTATGCTTTTGCTCTCAAGTACCCCTCTATCTTGAGTCCCCTTCTACTCAGTCTCTGTATGCACCCTTCAACCTATTGAGAATGAATCTTTTCTTCTATACTCATGGAAGCATAGCATCTCACAGTTGGAAGATACCTCTCACACAGACAGCTGGTTCAATCACTCTTCTGTTATGTAGATTTGAATGACATCTCTAGCTTCTTTTCTAAATTCATTAATGGCAGAAACTACTTGGATATAAAAATAACACACTTTTGACATTCTTTTTTTAAAAGATCAAATAAAAAATTTTTCTGAATCTTCACCAGATACTTCTAGTAATATAACCAGTTTCCACAAAATATGTCAGGGTTAGATTCCATAGGGCAACTCTTCTTATTTAAAACAATATCCTACACTCACTAGTTAATGTCTCGCTATAGACATAAAAGTACAGAGTGACTTGGAGGTATTTAAAAACCCAGTCCACATTTCTATCAGATTCTGTTCTCCCCAAATTGCCACAAATAAATGTAAAAACAGTGGCTTTGCTATGCAAATACAATTTAAGACAAGGTCAGAAGCCCTCTTTTCCCTGATAGATTAACTTATCTATTTATCTTCTATTTAGAAATTCTCATGTCTCTCGTAGCTTTAAATGGATCTTAGAGGCCATTTATTCTGCAATTGTTTTTTAATTCATGAACAAACTGAAGGGTAGAGATCAGAATATTTGCCTAAAAAGGATGGAAAGTAAAATTACCAGTAGAAGCTCTTTACCAATTTGTTTCTTATAGAAATTCTCTATGTTACATTTATCTTCTATCATATGGCTTTTCTTGGTCTATTTTAGATACTAACTTTTCAATTTTTTCAGTTATCCTCCCTAGTGACCACTCTTGAAATCAGAACCTATGTCATTTTTTAAAAAATTTGATTAGAGCACCCAAAAAGAAGACCTATCATAGATATAACTTAATGGAACATTCTTAAGTAGTTGGGTATATTTCCAATGAAGAACCTATCAAAAGTGTAAATACAAACTATTCCCTTTAAAAACGTACCCTAATTCTTATTAATGTTTCATCTTGAAAGAGTTAAGTGTTGGGTTGGGTGTGGTGGCTCAAGCCTGTAATTCCAGCACTTTGGGAGGCTGAGGTGAGAGGATTGCCTGAGTCCAAGGGTTTGAGATAATCCCGGGCAACTTGGTGAGACCTTGTCTCCACAATAAATCAAAAAATTAGCCAGATGTGGCTGCCCATGCCTGTAGTTCCAGCTACTTGGAAGGCTGAGGCGGAAGGATAGCTTGAGCTCAGCAGGTCGAGGTGCAGTAGTCGTGAGGTGCCACTGCACTGCAACCTGGGTGACCGAGTGAGACTCCAACTCAAAAAAACAAAACAAAACAGAGTTATGTTTTGAAATTATAGAAGGACACTTCATTTGGGCATCTGTGCAATCATTCTGGTAAGAATTCTGCAAAGCTAAATAGTGGATTAAATGTCCTTTTAGCTTCTAGATATGTATCTTAAAATAATACATGTGCAAAAGTGCTGAATACTTTATTCAATTAAACAAGAATTAATTAATATAGTGAACCTAGAATAGGATGATTTATTCCAGTCTAGCCACCCTAAACATAGACATTTAAGTCTTGAATGTTCTGCATTGTAAGTACTGGCTTTTACTTATTGGACCAAACTGAGACTAATGGCTGCTATGGGCTAAAGGAATGTGCCTGAAATAGAGCAGATCCTGTCACGTGACTCTTGCTCTCTCTTCCTGCTTCTTTTTCTTTGATCCTTCTTTCCATCTTTTCTTCTCTTCTCCCAATTGATTATGCACTTTGCAAATCTATACTTTATTTCTTTTTCATTATATTTCTTACATGTGATTCTTAGTCCTGTTTTTTCTTTTTCTTCAATCCATAACTAGCTCCTATCAGAGGGTTGTTCTGAGTATTAAATCAATTAATATGGGTAAAATGCCAAGCACAGTACCTTGTAAATAGGAAATACTTCCCTTCAGTTACTTCAAGGTATAACTTTCCTATTTTAAATTGTTTCGAGAGCCAGTAATTATATTAAGTATTATGTCTGTGGAAAAGAAAAAAAACAGAGTAGTCTGAGATGATATCAGACTATTTCTAATCCCAGGACATTCATATCTCAAAGAACTACTCAGCAGTTCCTTTTACATCTTGAGAGGTTCCTGCTTGCTTCCTCATACATCAGTAGCAAACTTGCTTTTCTTAGATATGAGCATTTACAATAAACATCTTTTTAGATTTTTCTGCTCTGCTTTTATTATGAATTTCAAAATTATATTGTTTCCTAATGCGACTGTACAAACAACAAAATCTTTTTCTAATTGATGATTACTAATTGACCTAAAAAAGTTAAATGTCATTAGAAATGTTTGGCATTAGGTAGATAAATAAATTCTTATTTCAACTTATAGACTTAAAATACTTGTTTGGAAATACATGGTTTGTGACTTTTGACAGTCTCATTGTGGCATTTCTTAAACACAGTAGAAAAATATTTTATGCAATTAATTTTATGATGGGCTACAGATACCATGTATATTACATTTTATTAAAGGAAGTTTTTCCTCTTCCTCTTTATAATCTGACTTTGATAATAATGATGGTTCTAACCATAAACTTCCATCAGTTAGGAATTCCACATGACTGAAAGTATTTCCCAGGAAGTAGCTCTTGATAAAAAAAAGATAAAGGCTTGACAAAGGATCTTGAAAAATTTAGAGATTTTTATATTTTCCTTTCTTTTCAATTTTGCTTTTCCCATTAGAGTGATGATTATCCTTTAAAAAATAAAACTACAGACTCTGGAGAAGCAATCTTTTCTTTATAACAGGCAGTAAAAAATACCATCTTGTTATATTTCTAGCAAGAACAGTAGAGGTGACTTGTTGGCTTTGCTTACTGTTGCTTTAGAAATTGACATAATACTTGCCACGAAAGTTCCAGAGGAAAGGAGGAGCTCCACAGGAACTGGTATTGAACGTTTCATATGCAGACTCTTGGCCTACCTTAAACAGAGACCCTCTTGCACATTTATGTTTCCACAAGAATTGGGATCATGTTCTCACTTTCTATCAACCTTCTCTTTTAATCATTCAAGTCCTAGCGTAATAGGCTGTATGTGCTTTGTTTTTCAGTGAGCCCAACAAATCTTTCTCAATTTAACCTTCCTGGGTCCAGCATGATGCGCTCCAATAGCATCCCAGCTCAAGACTCTTCTTTCGATCTCTATGATGACTCCCAGCTCTGCGGGAGTGCCACTTCTCTGGAGGAAAGGCCACGTGCCATCAGTCATTCCGGATCATTCAGAGACAGCATGGAAGAAGGTAGGCATGGGGAAAATAAAGATAAAGTTACTTCATTTAACTCTGAGTGGGAAACCATTGTATCACTCACTTCACTAGTATTCCTGATGAGGAAATCAGTAAGTATAATTCTCATTTGGGAACCCGGAAATTGAAGAAGTTTGATTCTGTATTATGTTCTGTTTCTTTAGGCATTTGAAAATATGCCAAGGTTTGTCTAGATTAATACTTGACTATATAGCAGTTTAAAGTAAATTCAATGTTCTCATACAGAAATATATATAAATTTAGAAAGTATTGCCCAGGTACATCAAACGTCAGAGCAAATGTTTTGTTTGATTCCTCAGTAAAGAGTCATAAAGATACACGAATCAGAAAAACTATAATAGTCACACTTTTTGTTCACAGAAACACCCTTTAGTGTTTGTTTTATATCATGACATTTTAGAATTCATATTGTACCTACTTTTTGCTTTGTAAGTCATATTTATTTGTCCAATGACAATCAAATTCTCACCTGACCTAAAAATGTCTTTATAGTTGTATAATTCTATGGGAATACTTTAAATAAAATTATTTGAAAACCTCAGAAAGCTTAACTAATGTTCGAGTGTACATATTCTTCTAAATCATAAAACTTCAAATGTCAAATTTGCTTGCAAGAATTTGAGAGATTGTTATTGAATGAATTTTTTAAAGTTTCCATAAAGGAATCTTGTGGCATGCATATTATAAAGCATGTCAGCTAAGGATAAACTGAAACTAAACATAAAAATTTATTCGAATGGAATTGGAGAACATCATCCTAAGTAAACTAACAGAAAAGCAGACACTGCATATTCTCACTTATAAGTGGGAGCTAAACTAAGGATGTGCAAAGACATGGAGAATGGTATAATGGATACTGGAGACTCAGAAGGGGGATGGAAGTAAATCTCACCCTTAGGGTACAGTGCACAGGTGAGAGTGGTGGGTACTCCTAAAGCCCAGACCAAAAACTATTTGTATTCCCCAAAGGAATTGAAATTTAAAATAAAACAGAAACAAACTGATAAAAATAAAACCAAAAGATATGGAAGGTAAGGGAGAGGGAATGAAAGGGTAAAATTATATAAACGTTAAAAAAGGATTGTGAAGATTAAATAATCATATTCAAAAAAGAATGAAACCAAACATGAAATCAACCATACTATCCTAGCCCTTAATAATCATGAATAAAAGAAAAAAACTTCCAGTCGTGGAATCTTATCAGGGTTTTAGACTCTGCCATTCATTTATTTGTGTATGAACTTGGGCAAGTTTCTTGACTTTATTCATCCTAGGTTCCTCATCTGTAACAAACAATAGGTTTGTCATAAAGATGAAATGAGAATAAAGAATAGCTCTGTTCCTTTCTCTTTCCCCTTTTCACCTTCTGATTAAAAATTTAGGCAGCGATACAAACTGACTCATGTTTTTCCGGTCTACACTGTAAATTTAATTTGCTGTCACTAAATCAGTAGAATATGCTTGTCACTACTTTTTGTGCTATTAAGCAAACCACTAAGTTCTCTGTAACAGATATTGAATGATATCCTGTGAGTCAGCTGATTTCTGCAGCGTAGATAGATAAAACATAACCAATCTGAAATGTAAGATCACTGCTTTTCTGAAATGGTTCAGTTACTCTCTTCACAGATAGGCCTCTGAAAATGCTTTAAAAATAATTTGTTTAGCATACAGAGAGCTTTCTGGAGTGTGGCATTTAAAAATAGAACAATGTTTATATGCTGGGAAATTCTGGCCTTCCCTGTATAAGGATTAAATTATCTGAACTGCTGAAAGTCAGCCTGAGTGAGCAAGATGGGGTTTTTTTATGCCCAGGCATTGAATATTGAACAATTATAAATCTAGACTCAAGACTTATTGAACTAGATTGGAGGGATTTTATTGATATCCTGCCCAGTGCTCACGCACACCAACAGATGTAGAAAGTGAACCACGTGCTGTAAGTTCATAGAAAAAGAACGAAAATGAGATCACCTGATTTGTTGTCTACCTGCCTTCCGGCACATCAGGCTAATACTTTAGTTTATAAAGGTGTTAGTAGGATGGAAAGAAGTGCTTTCTTTAAAAGATAATTGACTCAAATATCAACATTTTGCACATCTCATAGATGTGCCCAAATTAGAAATCTGGGAGTTGTTCTTCATTCCCCTCTTGACCACATCTATGTACTCGGTTTTAAAGAGGTTCTTCTTGGTCACTCCGAGATTCATCCCCTTGCATCCATTCATGCTGCCACTAACCTAGTACAGTATTTCCAGTCTTCTCTGGTCAAAGTTATAAGCACCTCCCATATGTTCATGTAGTACCCACCACATGAATCTCAATAGCATTTATTATATTCTACTGTAGTTATCTTTTAAATTATATCTTTCTTTTTATTTTATTTTGAAGATGTGTGGTATAATTCAGGGTTAAGTATATGAATGTTCATTATGCAGATACCCTTGTTGATGAGGTGTGCCCCCTCCCCCCACTCCGGCTGTTTCCTACTACTGCCAATTCCTTTCTTATAGTATTATGACAATTGTTCAAGTTCACTTATGAGTGAGAAGATGTGGTACTCAGTTATTTGTTTCTGTGAGAGATCACTCAGAATTACAGACCCTAAGTCCATCCAAGTTGCTGTGAAATTCATAATTTTGTCCTTTTATATGGCTGCATAATATTCCAGCGTGTATATGTATCACATTTTTAAAATCCAGTCCTCTTTTGATGGGCAGCACGATTGGTTCCATGTTTTTGCTATTGTGGATAATGCTGCAATAAACATACATGTGTAGGTATCCTTTTCATAGAGTGATTTGAGTTCCTCTGGGTATACTCCCAGTAGGGGGACTGTGGGGTTGTATAGAGGTCGCTTTTTAGCTCTTTTAGGAATCGCCAAACTGTTTTCCACAGAGGTTGTACTCCCATCAACATTGTAGTTCTTCCTTTTTCCTACATCCTCTCCAACATCTGTTGTTTTTTGTTATTGATGATGGCCATCCTGACTGGAGTTAGGCAGTATCTCAGTATAGTTTTAATTTGTATTTATTTGATGACTGGTGAGGTTGAGCATTTTTTCGTTTGTCTTATTTTGAGAAGTGTCCATTTATATCTTTTGCCTGCTTTGTAATGGGCTGTCTGTTTTTTTCTTTTTGGCACTTTTGAGTTCCTTGTAGATCCTAGATGTTAAACTTTTGTCAGATATATAGTTAGCAAATATGTTTTCCCTGTCTGTGGGCTGTCTCCCTGCTCTCTTGATGGTTTTTTGGCTTTGCAGAAACTTGTCAGTTTGATGAGGTCCTACTTGTCTATCTTATCTCTTATGACATGGGCATTTGGAATTTTGATCAGGAATTGGTCACCAGTTCCAATTTCTTTAGGATTGTCTCCTGCATTTTCTAAGTTTCCTATAGTTTGAGGTTTTATGTTTGGGTCTTTGATTCAGTTAGGATTTATTTTTGTGTATGGTGATAGGTAAGGGTCTTTTTTTCTGCTTCTTTGTAAACTCCTAGGTTTGTGTTTTTTTATTTTATTTTAATTTTTGTAGTTCCAGAATCTAGCAAGGGCTAGTCACACTTCTCATGCTTAACTAATGTTTGTTTAATGAACAATGACAGAAATAACTACATTATTTCATGGGAAAAAGAGGAAGAACTCTTCTACAATTGCAGTTAAGCACAATGCTAGCCACCTTTTGGGGTTTAAAGTATTGGAAATACAGAAGTAAAAAGCAGGCTGCTAATTGTTTAAGATGCTATTTTGATATAGCTAGAGAAAAGCCAGTAGGCAATTTCCATTGTTAATTTCTGTGAGATACCATGTTGGAATAAGGAGTATGTTTCTGTTACTAAAATTACTAAGGCAACAATAATTTTACATTTATTAGAGTATGATCAATGCATCAGATAATGTTGAAATGGCAAGATGGATCAAAATTCTTGTTGCCCTGAAAGTATAGTGGAGAAAAATTCAGAATATGGATCATTGTATAAATTAAACACTAACATTAACATGCTTTTAATTTTAAAAGTGTATGGCAACTTTAGTTTGGGTTTTCATGGTTTTCTATATATTATATGAAAATTGACTATGGCTTTAAATATGTGCAAAACATGCTGATAGGGTCCATGTTTGTCAACTCCTCTCTAAAACTTGTTGAAGGAGGTACTTTAGGGAAGATATGTGGGACTTTTTCATGTCTCAACCTCTTGATCTAAAAAATTATAGCAGGCTGGTTCTAAGAATCTTACAGTAAGCTATTATTTTATTTCCCAAGCTCCCTGTTCTTTACTTTTTCAGCGAAGGCCTGGGGTGTGTGAGTAGACTTCATTGTCTTAATTCTATTATTCTTTTTGTTTTCTCCAGTTCACGGCTCTTCCTTATCACTGGTCTCCAGTACTTCTTCCCTTTACTCTACCGTAAGTATTGGGTGTTAAGAAAAAGCTTCTGCTTTTGCCATGCACACAGATGATAAACTAGATCATTTCACTTTGAATAGATCACATTTACCTAGGACATTTACACAGGCGTTGTGATGTGAAATAAGGGCATGCTGAAATTTATTGCATACCCAATAAGTTGGCAGGTGCTATGCCAGCCATTGTGTGGCCACTTACATGTGCTTTCACTTGGCTTTTGTGCACTCATTGTAATCAAGGAGTAAATGTAAAACTAAATTTCTTGAGGCCCACTGGGATATGACTTGGAGCCCCTAAAACCATGTACTCTGCTGTGCCATCATTCCATGGTAATGACTAGTTTTTCTTTTTTGGTCTTCTAAGTCATGACTGCTCACTTTTGTAGGGTATTTTCTTCTCTTTATTTTTGAAATTCATTTCCTGAGGAGATTTTGCCAAAGGGTAAAAGCCTAAAAGATCCAGAGATATTTTTAAAAATACATAACTTTTGAGATAGTGTGTGATTTTAAATCTCTGTTTCCTAAGAGAATGTTTCAACTTGGCTTTTGCCAGTATGTGAAATTCTAGCTCATTTTTGCCAAGATGAGTTTTTCTGCTTACTAAATATAATTTCATCTTTTTTTTAAGTAGAGGAAGTTATGTTTTATGAGAGGATTCCTTTATGCCTAGCTAACTGTGAGGTATATTTAAAAGCATCTTCCTACATCTCAATGAGATTTGAGTATTATGAATAATCCTTAATCCTGTATTGAAAGGTTCATGAAAAGTTCATAGCCTTGGCTGTCTCTGATCAACGCAGTATTAAGAGCAATGCTATTTTTAAGCTCATATTTATTAGGTTCAAACCTTTATGTTTGTAGGTTAATTGTACATCTTTACTGCCTTAGATAGTCACTCAAGATCAAACTGTCATTGTCAGAGGTAATAGTTTTCTTGTTTCACCTTTTAATGATTAAAATTGTCAGTAGGTTCTATAAATTAGGAAATCATTATTAGTGCTTAGAATATATTGCTTTAAAAAACCCACATAAAATAAATATGTTAAGACTCAGTATTCCTCCTATTAGACCAATACTGCTGGTTTTTGGGAACTCGTATTCTGACTTAAACCACTGCAATTTAAATCTTTATTTAGCATCAAAATATGCTGCATGATTATAATTATATTTTAAATATATATAATAATACTGAGGTAACATTACCTTTATGAAACCTAAGAAGGACTAAAGAAGAAAAAGAAAAAAATATAGTTAGATAAAAGGAATAAAATCTAGTGTGACAACACGGGGCAATTATAGCTAACAGTAATTTGTTATGTATTTCAAAATAGCTAGAAGAGAAAATTTGGAATATTCTCAAAACAAACGATAATTGCTTGAGGTGATGGATATCTCAGTTACTCAGATTTGATCATCATACTTTGTGTGCTTGTATCAAAATATCACGCATACCCCATAAACACGTACAGCCATTATGTGTTTCTAAAACTTAAAAATAAGATATTTTATTCTCTAAAAAAAGAGCATAAGTTTGAGGAAAAACAGATGACTAATCAGTTTATACCAATGTCCAATAGACCTTTCTGATAGTAAATGTGTTCTAGATTGACACTGTCTACTACAGTAACCACCAGCCACATATTGTTCTTGATTTTTGAAGTGTCTTATGGTGTTCCAAGGTACTGAATTTTTTTATTTTAATTACTTTAAATGTAAATGGGCACATGTGCCTAGTGGCTACTGGATTGAATAGTGGTGCATTTTAAAAAAGGGTACATTTTTAAAAGGGGGGCATTTTAAAAAGGGGCACATTTTATTGTAGATAAATAGGAATGGGATATCAAAACAATGAGGACAACTACAACTAGAAATATTATTAAGAGTAGAATATAGGGCTTGGTTCGGTGGCTCAGCCTGTAATCCCAGCACTTTGGAAGGCTGAGGCGAGTGGATTGGCAACTTGACGAGACCTCGTCTCTACAATTAAAAAAAAATGGAGTAGAATATAAAATAAGAAAAAGGATTAAAATACAGATAAGGTATTTATACATATATAACACATATTTATAAGCCAACATACAGAGGCAAAAAGGATTCTAGTGTTAAGTGAGAAAAGGATTGATTAGGTGGTCAAGTCATATGAGAAGGTGATATTAGGAAAATCAAATAATAACATTCAAAATAATGGAAATTATATACTGAAATTGACAAATAAGCTATAATAAAATAATTCAAATAAATACATATTTAGAAGACTAATAAGAGAAAAATCATATATGAAAAGGAGTCATTCTGTCCCTAGTCCTCCATGATTATACACTGAGACTTCATTGACAATGAAAAAATGCCTACAAAAGTGCTTTTCAAACTATAAAGTGAAAAAACAACTTATTATTTTTCATGCTTTCTTAATAACTCTGGAAAAAGATTTGGTTGATTTGTATTCTTGCCTGGGTTCAATCATTAATATTAGGTAACATCAGGCAAGTTGCCAAATTTCCTTAAGAGTATGTCTTTAAAATGAAATTTGAAAACACCAGCCAGATCAAACCCATCTATCTGTCCCAGGGGATTTCTGCAAACGGGTTGGAAATCACAAGCCCAAATCTGATCTGCCAATGTGTTGCCTTTGGCAAATTTAGGATTTCTGTATTTGTTTTGAAAACCAAGTCAACTCTGTGAAATTTGGAACTTTTACCTCAATATTCACATTTCTAAATTTCTTTTTTAAAATATTTGGTAGCTGGGCATGGTAGTGCATGCCTGTAATTCTAGCTACTTGGAAAGCTGAGGCAGAAGCATCAATTAAGGCCAGCAACTCGAGGTTGCGGTGGCTGTGAGCATGCCACTGCACTCCCGTCTGGGCAATAGAGTGAGGTTCCAACTAAAAAAAAAAAAAAATTAAAAATAAAATATTTGGAATATCCAGCAACACTAAGATGAAATTTCTCCAAGAGTGCAGTCACTGACCTGGTGTCTACCTCCTCAGATGCTGACTTGTGCTCTAAGGAAGCCACAATCTCCACCACCTCTTCTTTTTTTCCCTGAAAACTTGGGTAGCAAGTTGTCATTGTGCTGTTGCTTTTCTCATAGGAAGTAAAGACCCCTTGCTATCCCTATCTCTATCAAAAGTGGGAACATAAAATGTAGCCAAGGAAGTCTCCGTGATTCTTTTTTAATGTGGAGAGACCTTTTAATTTTTATAAGCCTTTCTTGTTAGGCATTTACATTTTTTATCCCTGTAATAGATGTTTTCTGATTAGCTGCATATTAAAACTTTATTGAACTCTTCTGTACTCAAATCTTAATGTGAAAACAAGTGCCATGTTTGGTATATTGTGGATGCCCTTAGCATATTGCCTAATGCATAACTAGTGCTAAAGTAATATTTTTTAATTAATAAGTTTGAATAGATAAGTGAATGACTTACAGAATAAATAATTAACTGACATGTTTTTATTTAAGCAATAATTTTATATTGTTTTTCCTCCTTTAGGACCATGGGCTTGCTCAAAACCATCATTAAAAAATGACAGTTAATCAAATTCTGTCAGTATATAATTAATCCCACACCTAAACCACTGGCAAAATTGATATTCTGGTTCATTGCTTTAATTTTATGATAACACCCACCCAGTATTAATAATCAGAGTATGAAAGAAGACAAGGATTACAGAAAATGATGGTTTTTAAAAATCAGCAATGAGAAAAGTAATACTATACAGTATACAGATAATTGATATGTAATAGTTATGCTTACTACTAGTATATGTAACCTACTCATAACTAGTGTAATGAAAAACTGTAATGAGTATATTTATTAATTTTGTATAAAATAGAGCAAATATGTTTTTTTCAAACACATGTTTTACTTATTGAGTGTTTACCAAGCCCAGAAGCAGGATTTGGGCAGAATAAACTGGCAATAAATATACAAAGAACTAGGGAAAATTAATTTATATAGTTAATTGTGCCATATATCTTAAGGTAATGAAGATTTTATCTTAAGATTTCTTGCTTATTTTTTATTCAAAACTGAACTTTATATGAAGGATTGAAATTATTAAAATTTAAAAATATACAATTTTTACTTAAAAGTTAAAACTGAGATGAAAAATAACTCAAGATTTATGTTAACAATGCTTTTTAAAACAGTTTTCTTAAAAAGGCTGTTAAGATTCTAACAGTTAGTCACCTTAGTATTTAACCTTTATATAACTACACATTTTTTTTAAGGTAGAGAAAATATAGGAAAGGCAAAACTCATGTTAAAAGAGATACTTGGGCATAAAATATATCCTGATGGTTATGTTACTTTTTTTTTCTGAAAGAAAGCATAAAAAGCAGTTCAGGTACTTTTGTAACAATTAATATAGAAACATCCAGAAAGTGAAGATAGGCGATTGTTTTTCAGCTTTGGATCTGCTGATGACAACAAGCAGACTTGTTTTGTTCAGCAATGTCATGCATTCTCCAGTTTTTCCCAGAGTGCGGGAGCTTCCTGAATCTAATGGTGCACATAACTCATTTTCTAGCATCTTGCATCCCAGTATGAAGAAGAAAAACAGAGCGAAGGGTTTTCTGTAACTGAAGTTCAAAACACCCTGGAAGTTTCTATGCCATTCTTCATTTCTATAAGTTATGTAGCCAAAGATGTTTGCCAGCAATTTTTATCACCATCTTAACCCTGGGTGTTTTAGTGTTTTGTTGACTTGTAGCTCAATAACCACTAGGCAAATTAAAAGAAAATAGAAATTAATGATGTTGATTTTCTCTAGTTATCAGAAGTCAGTTCCCCCTCCCTTTTATTTGGCATTCTTTATGATCAGTAAATCACAGAATAAAATTCTGACTCTTAAATCTTAGCTAGAGATCTCTATAATTACTTGGACTCCATTTCCTACAGTCTGTATTAAAAAATCAAACATTTTAATTTTTTGTGTCCTTCTCTGTTTTTGAGTGTAATTTTATAACTGTTGTGTTTTTGCTGCTTTTGATCGAGTTTTTTAATTTTATCTTTTGCTTTTATGGCATGTAATATATATATGGATCAAATTACCTATCTTTTAAAAATGCCTTATTGTTTATATATAAGTAGATATTTAAGTCCTAAAGTATTGCATTTTACTAGTTTAATTAAATAACTTTATGTATCTCACTCCCTTCTAATGTTAGTTCAGAAAAATATTTTAAATATGCATTATAATTATTTTATTTATTTATAATTTTAAATTAATTGAAATTAGATTTTACAGTTGCATTCTTTTCTTTTTACTTTCTTATAGGCTGAAGAAAAGGCTCATTCAGAGGTAAAAAACTTACGAATTTGGACTATTTAGCTTTTAGTATACATTTATGATGAAATTGGTATTGTTACCACTAGAGGGCTCTGTGATACAATAGCAGAACTACAGGACTGCTGAAGTTAAGCCAGCTGTTTGATAAATGGTCTTTGATATTGCCTCTTAAAATAAAAGGAAGTTTTTACAGCAAGCTCTCCTCTCACATTCTAGATTGAGTCTTAGCTGAGCATCTAATAAGTTGTCTGTAGGAATAGGCACTCCTTAAATCACTGATGAGTGAATTAAAACCTATGGTGTTTCTATTTTATTCTTTTCCCCACTACCTGTGAGACTATCTGCAGAAGTTAATGGAATCTTAGGTACCAATGACATGACCTTGCTGCCTCTAATTGCTATTTTATGCCTAGTGTGGCTTATTTCTAACCACACATTTCACAAACATACTTGGTTGCAATCAAGTACAAATTAAACTTCAACCTGGAGAGAATATTCTCTTCCTTTCCCGCCTAAAAGATTTGTCCTGGCCAAAGAGAGCAGGAGAACTTTAATTATGACTTTGTTCAAGGTGAGGTAATGACTATTTGACTGGTTTACACTGAGGCAATCAGACTACAGAAATAATAAATGCCTTTAATAAAGGAACTTCTTTCCTTTGAAGTCTTATCTCATTTGCCTTTTGAAGTAAAATTCATGCTATATTTTAAAGTATTGATTATACAAATTTATCTTTATAATCACTGGATCAAAGAGTGAATATGATTTTTAAAAACCTAAACTACTTGTGGAACATGGACATGGGAAAACTTCTAGCATTGATCATAATATAGGAATGGAGTAGAGAAATGCTATTATCTCTTCTCCTTAGTGGTAGTATCTAACTCCCTTTTTTGTTGTTTATGTCCTATAATGGGTCATGGTTTTTGAAAAAAAAAATTAAATCACTTTACAGTTTCCTGAATTATATTTTGCAGAAACTAGAATCATGTGATAGAGACCATTGATTTGAGAAAGGCTCTTTGAGTTTGTGTTAGCTTAAGAATAAAATATATGCACTGCTTTCTGAAATGATTCATGGTCATCATCATATAAATGTAACTCAAATGTGATTTTGGACTGGGGCGTATCTCTTTTTAAAAAAACAAGAGTGAAACAGAATCAAAGTTGATGAACATATATAAATATCTACTATCTCTGCTTCCAGCTTAGTTATCTCTCTTTTTTAAAAGTCTTTCAGTATTGACCACCATTTTTTTTTTTTTGCACAAAATCTAAGGTCTAGAAAAAAAAGTAAAGAGACAATAAACTATGTCAATAATGCTTTTCAAATTGAGACAGTATTCTAAAAATTCAACTACAATAGAAGACTTGTAGTTGAAGAAAAGCATCAGAGTAGAATGTTTAACAGCTAAGTAACTAAAATCCTTTGAGAACAGAAATATACATGTAGACTTATTCTCAGATGGTTAAAAGTGTTCTACCTTTATTAGTCACTGTTTACAATATGAGACATGTAGACAAACTGGAATTGAATTAAATTGTAAACATGATATGATATATTCTTATCTTTTTCTGATTCCATTTTATTGGAATGTGAACTTAACTAAAATCAAAGACAGTTTTGAATATTCATTTTGTTGGTTTATCTAGTTAGTTGGTCACTACTACTGTTTTTTATACCCTTTTTTTAAACTATGGAAGAGTCATGTGGTATCTATTCTAAACTGATAATAATTCACTGAATAAAGGACATTATAATAATACTGAGTTGGAAAGGCCTCTCTGTCAGTCATTAAAACTCCAGCCAATAAAAAATGTCTAATATATATAGAGACTCAGTAAAAGTTGATTTAAACCCAAGTTGCAATGACTGCAGGATATTCTACAGATTCTGAGAAGGTACCAAACTCTAAAACAATTAAAATGCACACAGAAAAAAGTGCCTAAGATTTTCAGAAAAGTTACATGGAGTGTCTTTTATTTAAAAGAACCAAGAAAAAAATAGGTATATGTATATTCAATTTTTACAAATAAAATATTTTTCTGCCTGAGTTTTATTACCACAACTTTCTAGAGGGAGAAGAATCAATAGACAAAGTAATCTGCCTTATTATTATTCAGTTAGTTGGGGGTGACAAAGGAATCCCATAAGCATACTTTGATTTGCAGATTTGAGTACCAACTTTGAAGTTAGACACCTAACCCTCTTCTGAGTGACACTTGATTGTTGCTGTGTAGCCAGTGTTCATATCTTTTATTTTCAGGAGGTGATGCTAATATAGTGGGGGTAGAATGGGCTAAATATAGAATTTGCTTTCTTGGATTAAATTCTTGGCTTTATGTAAAATTCTACTAGCATACTGAATTGATTTTTTTTTTTTATTGCATTCAGCAAATCCATAAGCTGAGGAGAGAACTGGTTGCATCACAAGAAAAAGTTGCTACGCTCACATCTCAGCTTTCAGCAAATGTAAGTCACTTTTGATTTTTAAAAATACATTATGACAGATTTTTAGATAGTAAAATGGAATAATTTTAGTAACAAACTTACAATGCCCAAAATGATACAGACTTAAGTCACTGAATAGTGGAACTCATAAAAATTAACCTTTTTGCACACTGAGTAATAAAATGTAATTGGTGACGGATTGCAGTTAAAATGGCTTCTTGTTAATTGTGCTTAAAATGGCTTCTTGCTTTTTATAAGACTGGAAACAATAGTTATAGCTCTACGTGCCACTTTTTTTCTTGTTGGTCATTTTTATCACTCCTGGTGCATAAGTCTCTCTCAAGCCATAATATAAGAGGAGTTGTTAGTGTTTGACTTTGGATGATGAAAATATTCATATGACCTACGTCCTTCAGCTCAATGAATTGAACAATTAGTTAAGCATCCAATTAATTCTAAAAGATGGACTCAGGTCTAAATATGGAGAGCTTAGCTACACTGTGGATGAGATACCATTCTCTCAAAAAACCTTGGCTGCCTTCTCATAGTAGTTTAAAAGAATACACTCTTACTGGTGCCAAAGCAGCCCAGGATGGCAAAAATAATGACAGTAAGGACCATCAATTAAATTAACATTTATTGAATATCATCCTGTGTGCCAGGAAGTACTCAGAGTAGATGCATAATAATAAAGGGGAACATGTGGCATTGTGCCCAGGCCTAAGGAGCAGTAAGTGTTAGAAACAACCATGAGGGGTAAGGAATCGCCTGCTATTTTGCCATATGTCCTGCCTCTCTGACTTGACGACAGTTTGCTCAGTTCTGCGGTGTAGCTTTGGGCCTGCTTCCTGCTTCTACTTCTTTGCTCCTCCACGGAGTTTTTGTATCTCCCAGACAAAGCAAGAATGAGCAGGTACAGGCCTATAGTGTAACCTTGAAGAAGAAACACTCTAAGAATGAAAATCATTGTGAAATACAAGTCCTACAGAATAGAAGTCATTTTATTCACAATGCATGCATTTTTGCACTGTGTTGGAATTGATTTAATTTTTTGAACTTTGGGAGAATCAAATTAATTTTGGATTAATTCTCTTTATTATTTATAGATGTTGTTAGAGGATTCCTAAAAATAATAGCAAGTTTTAGAATTGCTTAGGAAAAACTGGACAATAACAGTATTATTTAGCCTAAATGATACCTCTGGGTTGTGTTTTCCTGCAAAGACTCAGTGACAGACTCAGTGATTAGATTTTCAAAATACTTGCAGATGTCTTGAATGGTCATGCAGTGTTTTATTTTATTTTTAAATATCTGTTGGTTGGCCTCATCATATAATTCAGATATTAGAATAATAAATGACTTCTAAAAATTATGGGAGATGGGCTGATAAAGAGTATTAAAAAAACTATTTCCACTTATATTTTTAAAAACAAAACTTAAAAACCTTTTTATAAGAAACACATTTGATTTTTCTTCTGAGATTCCTATTCTCATTTGTGGTTGTTGTTTTCTTGTGTATTCTTTCAACAGTGTTCTATTATATGCCCATATAGATATACAATACACTTGCAAAGGCTTACACACACTTACACAGTCTCAAACACACACATACACACATGCACACACTCACATATACACACAATTGCTGGAGGAACCAAATTCCAACACAGGGGAACTGCCATGGTGTTCAACTCTGTGCTACTGTTTAGAAATGGAGCAAATATTTTAGAAAGGGGTCATCCATTGTCTACCCACCCCTTCTGTTCTATGTATGTCACACTATTTTCACTGGTACGTTTTTATGATGCTAGAGCACACATTCTCAGCTGGATATTAATATGAGTAACAGAAGAGTCAAAATTGGTTTTGTGCTTTCAAACAAATCTTATTATTTTATGTAAAAAACACAGATATACATGCAGAGCATAAATGAATATCCAGTACATCTATGGCTTTAAAATGTCATAAGGACAGGGGGCAGTTAGGAAAAAAAAATCTATAATGTCTCCCTTGGGGAAAAATAGTCCAAAAAAAAAAAGTAAAAAATACAGAATTAGAGGAAGCAGTGCCAAATAGATGATTTTGCACTAGTCTTTGTGCTAGTTTAAAAAGTGCTAGTCTTGGAGAAAATGCCCAGATTTCTCCAGCTTTCCCCAGCTCAATCTATGTTATCATTAATAGTAATTTTTACACACTGATAGGAGTTTAATATGTATCCTATTTTTATGCACTTAAAAAATGGTAACGTGGTTGAGAAATCTCAAATCATCTCAGATTCACACAAAAACCCGTACACGGCACCTGAATATTTAATTGCCCCCAAAACATGAAACCACTAAAATATCCCTTAATTGGTCAATGAATAAATAAACTCTGATAAATCCATACCATGGAATACTACTCAGCAATACAAAGAAATGAACTTTGATGGATCCCAAGGGATTATGCTGAGTAAAAAAGCCATTTATGGAAGGTCTCATTCATATAATTTCATATATAGCATTCCAGAAATAAAATGATAGGAACAGAGACAGATTAGTAATTGCTAGGGGTTAAGAATGGTGGAGAGAGAGCGGTAGTATGACTATAAAGAACTAGCAAGAGGGAAATGTTTAGTTTTGTATCTTGAATGAGATGGTCGTTACATGTGTGAAAGTCCATATGTAAATCAATATTGAATCCCTGGCTTTGATATTATAATTATATTAGATATATTATCTACAACCATTAAGGGAAACTGGATGTAGTGTACAATGGATCTCTCTGTACTGTCTTTGCAACTTCTTGTCGATATATAATTATTTCAAATTTAAAAATAAAGCACCTAAAGATCTACCACAATTTTTTGGGTAATATCTTGTTTTTAGTTTCCTGGAGTTTCAACCTTATTCCACCATTTAGTGTCCCCTTATTTGGTGGTGATATGGAATGTTAAATCTTGTTATTATCAGTTAAATTTACTTGTTAAAAATATCAGCAACTTTAACATTACAGAAATGTAAATATTGAATGAAAGTCAGAAGATTCAGGTAATGAAGATATGCATTGTCTTCTATGTTTAAAACGGTGTGTTAAAATTCCCTTTTAGACTAAATATTGCACTATCTGAGAATTTATATAAATGGATACATATATAATTGATTATAAAACAATTTCAATGTCAGTTGTATTTTAAACATTGTAAATGATAAGAGGTAGAATCTGCATATTGATGTCCATTTGTGTTTTATGGGAATATTCTTCTTTACATATCCAGGCATTTGAATAACAACTCATGAGTAGTCACCTATTAACCAGAAACCATTTTGAACTCATTCATTCTCTTTAGTGTTTGGTTTATAGTATCACTTTATATTTTATAGACTATAATGAGTCATCAAAGGATTTAGTTAATACTTGACATTCTCTCAGTTCTAAGAAATGCATGTTTGAATTTTATTTAGAGGTTTTATTTGCATTTAATCTGAGTTAATCTGTTAATGTATGTAATAAATATGTACATTTTAACACTCATGCACATACATTAACTCACTGCTCAGTTTAACATCTATTAAATCAATCATAGGGACTGTTTAGTTATTCAATTTATTATTCAATATTCAATTCAATATATTAATTCAATATTATTCAAAATAATATGAAATTCTGTATAGGATTTCTTTAATATAAATCAAGAACGTTTAAAGGTATAATTCCTATTTGAAGGTAGAAATAAGACTTTATTTAATTGTTTGTTCAAGCCACAAGTCAATTTTCTACCTTTTGGTTAAATGCAGGTGTGATCTCCATAATGCATGTATCAAAATGTAATGGATATAATATATTGGATGTATTTCAATGAGTTTGGTTCTGTGGAAAATATCAACTGATCTTTAAAATTTAATAATCATTGTATATATCAGCTATTCATTTTTACTCAATATATGGACTATCAAGACTTAAATGCTTTTTCTTAATTTGGGATATTTTTGTAATTGATGCATCACACATTTGAACTTGGCATGATTATTTTTGAATGACAACTACACAATAATCTGTGTTTTAGTTTTCCTAACTGTGAGATGCATCTGCTTTTTTGCTAACTCTATTTTTTTTTTCCTTTTGCTAAAAAGGGTAGTGGTAAGTCAGAAAGGTATCTGGGCAGCACACCTCTCATTTGACTAGCACAGTAAAGTCTCTGTTCAGTAAGTGCAAATTAAGCCTTCCCCTCCCTCTTGTGCTCTGAATAGAGCTGCATAAAGTCACAGGGAGACTGTAAAGCTGCTTCTACTAATATATCTTTAGAAAGGAGAAGGGGTATACTGGCAGATGCTATTGCCTGGCATCCCCTGAATCCATACCCCACCAGTCATAACCCCATGACTATGTCTATGATTCCATTCTGGTTAAACAAATACATTGCAGACATTATGTACAGTATTTTATTTTGTTTAACATCACAGTATCTTTCTCTACATGTCTATTCAGATTATGTTGTATGATTCCAAAATGAAACGCAGTACATATTAAAATTATCTTCCCTTAACTAATAGTCTTATCTATTTAGTTACCTTGACAGACTTAATCTAATACAAGTCAGGGGATATTCATCATCATATTAATAAATTTTACTTTGACTTGAAAATTATGCAGTTGCTAAAAGAAAGTCAGAACTCAGTAAACCGTGATTAGCAATTCCCCTGAAAATCCATATTTTAAAAAAATCATTTTATAAAATTTTTTCAGGTAAGATATATTATCCTATAACTTTGATCAGTTTTACTTTCAAATTTATCTTCATTAAGGTGATAAAGGTCATCATTGTTTAAAAACAATCCCTTATTGGCTTCTTCTGTTTCTTTTACTTCATTTGGTGAGAAATTTAACCTTTTATTACTTCCAAAGTAATAAAATTAATCTGGTAAACTAAGCCAAGATGATATAAATTTAAGACAATAGTTTACTAACATAATCTTAGCATACTTTTCATTGAAAGCTACATGATTCAAAATAAAATGTTCTTTAGTAAACAGCTATTAAATTTTCTTGTGAATAATTAATGAAAAGCATTTTTAAACAGATTACAAACTGACATTCTAATGTTAATATTTTGTGTTTACGTATAGCTACAAAATGTAAGCAATATAGTTTACACATCATATTCTTTACAATCCTGATTTTTTTTTGTCATATTTTAATTCCTATTAAACTGCTAACATAGTCACAAAGGCTAAAGGGAAGTTATTTTCTTCAAGTTTATGCATTCAAGGACTTACAATCCTGTAATTAAAACTTACATTTCTCTACTTTGAGAGAATTAAAACTTTGCAATATTGAGTAGAGTCTTATGTTTCATTTAGTAAATGTAGACAAAGGGTTTCTGTTAGAACTTTCCTTATTTTAAAACAAGCAATTTTAGTTTTAGTAACCCATTTTATGGTCATTTCTAATAACATAAACTGAAATGAGCACAGATGGCCATCATGAGCCAATATATTGCAAATTAACATATAGGAATGCTTCACGGCAAAGACTAACTCCACTACATACCACCAGAATGAATCTAAAAACCAGTATTAAGCAAGAGAAAACAGTCACAAAAGAATCATGCCATATGATTATATTTGGACAGTTTTAAAAATAGGCAAACTAAACCATAATATTTGGAAATGCAAACTTTGGTATAAAAACTATAAAGAAAAGCAAAAACATAATCACTACAAAAATTACAGTAGTGGTTATCTTTAAAGAAGGGAGAGGAAACAATGGCCAGGGAGGGAACAAGGTAAGGCTTCTAGGGACTCCTAGTGTCTTATTTCTTGACTTAAATGGTAGATGCATGAATGCTACTATGTGATGAATGCACAGTGGGCTGTATATTTTCTTTTCTTTTCTTTTTTTGAGTTGGAGTCTCACTCCGTCGCCCAGACTGGAGTACAGTGGCTCAGCCCGCGGGCTCAGGCAAACCACTAGCCTCAGCTTCATGTGTTCACTTTTCTATATGTGTGGGATTTTTTTTTTCACGATAAAAAAGGTTAAAATATAAGTGAAAATGGAACATAGCCTTATGCTAATTTCTGAGGCTACTGAGTCTGATGTCATCGCATTTCTTGTCATTGAAAAGATTTTAAACTATATTATTTTATAGTGTTATTTAGCCAATTAAATCTGCTAACAAACCTTGATATATAATTATGAAAAGTGTGTGTGGGGTGGGAGGGAAAAGGAGGACATGGAGAAAAGGGAGAGGGACTGGATAAGGAGCATAAAGAATTGTGCTGGCCGGGCTCAGTGGCTCAGTCTTGTAATCCCAGCACTTTGGGAGGCCGAAGCGAGTGGATTGCCTGAACCCGCGGGTTCGAGACCCACCTGGGCAACTTGGCGAGCCCTCATCTCTACAATAAATCTAAAATTAGCCGGGTGTGGTAGCACACGCCTGTAGTTTCAGCTCCCTGGAAGGCTGAGGCAGGCGGAAGGATCGCAGGAGCCTACCAGGTCAAGGCTGTGGTGGCCTGAGCGTGCCACTGCACTCCAGTCTGGGCGACAGAGTGAGACTCTGACTCAAAAAAAAAAAAAAGAACTGCTGCTAGATTGAAGCTTAGTAGGAGTATTCGCTACAAATTATTTTTTTCTCCGTATTGCAGTGTCAGCTAAAGGCAGCCCAGAATAAGTTAAAAGCTAGAAAAAAAGACACCTCTGCATCTTTATGCTAACGGAAGGACTTGGGCATTCTAACTTTTCCCAATAAAGGGATATATTTCCAAAGTCCTAATTCTTGTGATCCATTTAATAGTAGGTGCCTCAGCATTTCAGCTCTACTACAGCTACAAGATGTATTTTATTTGAGTCTTCTCATTCCCTTCTAAAAGGAATGAAGGGAGGGAGGGAGGAAGGAAGGGAAGGAGGAAGAACCAGGTTAAAATACATTGAAATATATCCCAGCAGGGCCTTCCAAATTTTAGATCAGACCTGCCAGGGTGGGTGTTGTGCAATCCAGTGCCTCGTGAAAGATGCAAAGAATTACACAGAAGTTAGACTGAAAATATAATCGATTTAGAAAGTAAATGAGAGAGAGAAAGAGAGAAGGAGTGAGAGAGAGAGAGAAGAGAAGATTCACCTCCTTAAGGTAGGGGAGGGGGCCAGAGCCAAGAAACATGGCAGTCATAGCTCAAAGTACAGATGTCGGAACCATAACTTAGCGAGGCAATGGCAACGCTGCTCAGGATTGAATACTTTTAAACATTTCCCTTGAAGGGGGCAGGTTGTTAAGGTGGTTCAGTGGTGGTCCACTTCATGTCATCATGAAGGGGCAGGTAAACGCAGATACTGACATCAGGTGATGAACAGGAGGCAGATGGGTGGGCTAGTCACAAGATTGCTGCCATGGTGATGAGGTCTGTCTGGGTCATGAAGGGATGATTAGGTGACCTTGGGTCTTATGGGTAGAGGCAAATAGTTAAAATAGAAAAACTAATTAGTACAAAACAAGCTGGAAAAGGGGTTTAAAACAATTATCAACAGCTACTTCTGAGAAACCAGTTCTGTACGTGGCTAGTGATTAGAGAATAAGTTAAAGTGAACTGTTAGAGAAGCATGATAATTCTTTTTTTTTTTTTTTTGAGTTGGAGTCTCACTCTGTCGCCCAGACTGGAGTGCAGTGGCCGCTTCTGGCCACCACAGCCTCGACCTGCTGGGCTCCGGCGATCCTTCCGCCTCAGCCTCCCAAGTAGCTGGAACTATAGGCGCGTGCTACCATGCCCGGCTGATTTTTTTTTAAAATTTTATTGTAGAGATGAGGTCTCGCTGCCCAGGCGGGTCTTGAACCCGCAGGCTCAGGCAATGCACTCACCTCACCCTCCCAAAGGTGCGGGATTACAGGCTGAGCCACCGAGCCCAGCTGAAGCATGACAATTCTAAGCTGCTCATTGGGTATATTGACTCCATGTTAGGTCTTTTCTGAAGGAAAGATCAATCTTTTCCCAAGGATTGACAAAGTTTGTCCCACGTATAATTTATTATAACTTTAGATTGTAAAATGTCAATCCCTATCTCCTTTTAATAGCACAATAAAATTATATCTATTTGAGATAATATACCTGTTGTTCCACTTGAAGCCATGGTGAGAGATTGAAGCACCTCCTCATACTTAATATTCTGGGTTCAAGCTGTTGCACAGTAGCCTACCAATGGAAACTCTCCTATTTTAGAGTTTTAATAAGATTGTCAAATATATCTTAATCATAAGAATTATGGTTATGTACTACAATGTGTATAATTCCCTAAAATTTAAAATAAAACCCCAAAGCCACAAAAGCTTAATGTTAAATAAAATATGATCAAGTATTATTTCTAGCGGACCAAGATATATTTCCTTAGTTGAAGGAAATAGAAAGTAGGAAGAAAAGCCCTTTTATTGAAAAGAGTTTGGAAAGTAAAGACAACTCTTCCCCATTCAATTCTTTGTTAAGTACAAAAAGAGGAAAGATAATATTGTAGCTGTCAGCAGATGTCTGACACTTGAAGGAGAGTATCATTACAATGGAGGAGCTAACAATATCTTCAAAGGTCATCATAAAAGTATAAAAATGGGGAACATTTGTCCATTGACTATTTCAGTGACCTCTTTTGGGATTTTAAGTCTAAAAACTTGGCAACTCAGAACTTTATTCAGTGTTTTAGGTGTCAAATCTCTCCATGATGTGCAAGTCAAAAGGTGTTATTATTTGCAAAATATCATCTTCTTTCAGAAGTTAAACTCACATTAAATGTCAAGAGACTGAAACACTGACTTTTAAGATGTCCAAGTATAGAAATAATAAAGGAATATCTGTGCCAAAGGAGATTCACCAATAAGAGTTGGCCATGATGGACATAGTTAGTATTTAAGGAGTTAGAAAATCTGGAAGTAAGCATTTTGTGAAATGAAGGTTTCTCATCCATCCGCATAAGTGTCTGACATTTAAACTACATTTCTTCCATTTTGTTCACAGGCTCACCTTGTAGCAGCTTTTGAAAAGAGTTTAGGGAATATGACTGGCCGATTGCAAAGTCTAACCATGACAGCGGAACAAAAGGTATGTTCAGGAATTGCCACTGGAGCTTGAAAGAAGACAGCAGGTTGCATAGGATGCTTAAATAGTACCTGCATCTCCTTAAAAATGACACTACTGAGCATTCATTCTATACTAGACTGGAACAATGATAAGATAATGCCTTATATTTTCAGATTTTAATTTACAGATTTATCAGATTAATTTATATTGGAATACACACATGCACAAAGTTCTTTCTAGGCAGTCTATTATTTTCCTTCTGACTGGAGCTATGAAAAGAATACCAAATGTTAAGAAAGAAAAATAGGCTTATAAGCGTTAGAATATTTTAGGAAAAAATTGTTATGCAGTTGACAAGAATTGTACTCTGACAAGAAATTTCAATTACATGGTCTCTAAGTCTAGTCTACATGGACCATAGCTCTAGACTGAGATATGCAGGAAGGATGCCTGGAACAGATGTTAGGACTCTACAAAGTAAGGGGCTTCAGATTACAGCATTGATGGAACCAGGGGAAATTCTATGTAATTTTGTATTAGCAAGAACTAGTTGGCATCTGGGGATGCTGCCTTGGAAGTAAAGTAATTTAAGCTAAATCAAAAACTTTAAAATAAACCTGAAAGATTTTATGGTGCAGAAGAAGGAATACTAAAAATAAAGGAACAGTTCACAAAGGCAGATGTATTAAAAAAAAGTCCACACAACATAGAGAGTATCTGGTCATTCTCTCTGTGATAACCTGTTAACTTATTTCTCTGCTGTGAGTCCAGTGGCCCTGACTTCCTTGTGTATGAGTCAGAGACAGGGGAGGCTTCTGAAATTATGCAGAAATTCTTTGAAAAAACTGTATATATGCATATATGTATATATGGTCAGATGTCCACTGTTTTTATCTAATTCTTAAAGAGAGCCATAATCTAAAACGCTTGGGATATTTCCAGAATCTGTTTCTATGTCCATCTTTAAGAACGAATTCAATTTTGTGTTTAAATTTTCTGTGAGGTATTTCATTAGCTTTACAAAACTAGCATCTATTACCAAATTTTGTCAGTTTACAAAAGTTTTTTTTAATTGAATGAGCAGTCCCTTGAAATCAAAAGAGAAAATCTACTATTCCTATAATTACCTAGTATAACTAGCAAACTGTATTCTAATTTATCCTCTTAGTTCATAGATTTCCCCTGCCCATGAAAGAGAAAACCATTCCTAACAAAACTGTTACAGAAGGACAGCTAACAAACTATTTTTTGAGCTCATAAATTTTCTTACTTTTTTTGGGAGGGGAGGTTGGGGTAAAATTAACCACTTCACTATATAATATAAAAACCTAGCAAATAACATTACAAGGCCTTTGTGCCAGCCAGATGGGGAAGCATAAAAGCATTGGAACCCAGTAATCTTGAGTGAAACCTGGCTGTGTCTATTACAAGCGGGATAATCATGAGCAAATCTAACCTTTCCTGAGCCTTAAACTAATCTTTTTAAAAGTAGGAATATTAATAATAGTAGGTTCACAATGAAAAGTAAGATACTATTATTATATCACATACAGTGGGCAATCAAAACATATTATCTTCCTTTATATTTCTTTCTTTTTCACATGAAAAATGTAAGATAAACCAAATTCATCATTGGGCATATTGCTGAAAGTGAGGGTTAGTATTTAAGTCTCACTATCTTAAGTCGAAAGTAATGGAATTTTTTGCCCTCTTCCCTATTTATTTACAAATATAAAGATCTTGTTTTATATTTGTAAGTACATTTTCTCATAAAAGCTGAAAAAATGCAGAGGTATGTTCATTTATAATTCACATGTTTTAATGCCTGAATATTTAAAAATATATCTCAATAATACCAAAAGTATAATTATGTGCACATTATCCCTAAAATAACATTGCCAAAATTACAAAATTTTCTCAAAAGATATCAGGATGTCTGCTATTGCCCTTATCATTTTTAAACTGAAAATAAAATTGTTTCTGTACACAGAAAGCAAATGGTAGATACACAGCAATGTTGGTAACTAGTTTATTAATCCGAGATTGTAATTTGCCTATTCCCAAAGGGGTTTTGAGAAGCCTATTCAATTACTTGCTCATATGATATGGCATAATTCAAGGGCAACCTGTGAAAACCTTGTTGATAAGGGGTGTCTCTCCATCCCCAGACGGATATTGACTACTGTTAATCCCACCTCCCTTCCCCTCCCTCCCCCCCCATAGTTTCCCACCACTGTCAATTCTTTTCTTACAGTATTACGATAGATGTTCAAGGTCCACTATATCTAACAACACTGTATCTGAGCCTAGATAATTACTCCTGCAAAGCACTGAACTGAATTGAATGTCAAGAAAGCTAAGGCACAAAGGAAGATTGCTTGGTATGCTTTATTCTCATTTTCTGACCGCAAGAGCACAATTTAGATTGAAGAGACAAACTCTTTGGCACTGAATTCAAGGACACATTTATTGCAAAGATTTTAAAATTGGGGTCATGGAATAACAAAAGGCAAAATCGCTGTTCAAATAGGCATCTCTCTAAAAGCTGAGGGCATAACATTTAATCATATTTCAGTAAAGGCATTTCTTCAGGGAGCTGAGATAAAAGAATATGTTGCTTTCTGGTGATGCAACAATCCTGGGAAAGAGCTTGAGAAATAGAAAGTAGAGATTTTTAAACTCTGTTCTTGGAGTTCCAGGGTTCAGTTGCCCATTTAGACATTCATCAAATTTATATTGAGTTTTTACTGTTCTGAGGACAAAACAGCATAGATAAGTATAGAACAATAGATGAACACAACTCTATCTCTCTATCTCTATCTGTAGACATAGATATCTACAGGAATATAAACTATAAATACATACTATAATACTCTTCATAGAGTTTATATTCCTTATATATTTGTATATATATATTTTTTTTCAAATCAATATATTTTATTTTAATATTGTGGG